CATTTCACAATTCTGTGCCTTTTCTACCACAATAGCAATGATCCTAATGAAGCAGCTAACAACATACCAGGCGTCATGCTAATTCATGTGATAATTCACACACATGAGTGAATCTAACACACTCAATAGCCCTGGTACTCATATTACATTTCACTTATGGAAACTGAGGCTTGAAGAGGTGAAATACATCACCCAATGTTATGTAGGAAATAAGTCCTAGAAGCCGAATCCAAACTATTACACAAAACCTGGGCTTTTGACTACAGTGTGATGCTGCTTCTCATACTCTTACAAAAGGATATGGAGAGACTCAGAGACCAAGAGGGAAGCTAGAGCCAGGATTAAAATGGCTTTATATGTCAGAACAAGGAGCTTGGATCTTTTTGTAAAGGTAGTTGGCAGATGAGTAAAAGCAAGGCTGGGGGAACAACACGATGCTTACTGGAAACTTCTACCAGTTTCCTCATCTATAATAAGGACTTGGACTAGATAATATCTATACTTCTTTTAATTCTAAAATGCCATATTATTGCAGTTTGTATTATACCCTTCTGGTGCATACTACACCTATGCGTAAGCCACCTGTCAGTGGCTTCCCTGTGCGATTAGTATAAAAATCTATCTCTGGCATCATGGACTACAGGGCTCTGCAAGCTGCAGCCCTTGCCTGCCTCTGACTTTACTACTTGTCTTCTCTTCCTCGATCGCAATCTTTTAGTCACAAGCTTTTCTGTTCTAGAAACTTCCTTCTCCAGGGCCTTTATACTTGCTGGTTCCTCTGCCTGAAAAGTCCTTCCCTGGATCTTTTTTTAGTAGTTCCTCAAATGTCACTTCCCTCAATGGGCCTTCTATAACCACTGCAGCTAAAGTATCATTTCCTCACTTGGTATTCTTTACCACATTCTTGTTTTATTTTTTTATACTAATTACCGCTGTTGGAAATTCACTTTTTTTGTTGTTTGTTTTGCCATTTAATGAATCCTACCCCCATCCATCTACACATAAGCTCCGTGAAAGCAGGGATCAGGCTGATCTGGTTCATCACAGGGTTGTATGCCGTGTGTTGGTTGATGCCTGGCACATAACAGCACTCGGTAAGATTTGTTGAATGAATGCATGACTCATCTTGTGCAGCCCGCACAGTACATAAAAAAATACTAAGCGCAAAATAGGAGATCAAAAAGCATGTAACAGTAATAATGATAACTAACATTTATCAAGCTCTAATTATTGACACTGTGCTAAATCCTTTAAACACGTTGCATCATTATAGTCCTCACCACAACTCTATGAGGTAGGCGTTGGTATTAACCTAGTTTTACAGAGGAGGAAACAATCTTAGCAAAATCGAGACATTTCCCCCAGGTCACAGGACTAGTAAACTGACTCTAATTTCAGCACGATGGCATTTGTTAACTGGCTGGCTTCTGCAAAGTGAAACTGCAGTTGCCCCCACTCGGATTATTAAAACTTCATAATTTCAAAGAGTATCATGTGAGCAGCTATTCCATTTGTCCTGGGACTCAGGCCAGGTAAGGGGTGCTAGGTTCCTAGGATACAGAGGTAAATAATGTAATATGGTTCCCAACCTCAGGGAGCTCAGTTTAATAAGAACACAATATGTAATTGTGGTAGAATAGATGCCTCCATGACTCACACACTTCTTCCTCCCATTAAACACAACACAACAAACAAACAAAAAAATCTTCATGTTCCTGGAGGCTCATTTCTCTTAAATTGATCCCCCAAACCTTGCCCCGGTGTTTAACTTTGCATTTATTAAATTACATTTTGTTTAGCACTGTCTAGGAAGAACTCAACAGCCATCATTTGCTAAGTGCCTACCTGTGGCAGGTGATTTAAACTGAATTCTTTTAACAATGCTGAGGTGGGTGTCCTTATTCTTACCTTACAAATGAGCAGCCAACAACAGCTTACTGGGGTGGTGAATCACAACCTGATGAGTACAATATAGTGTCTGATTAGAATGTCGTATAGATAGAGGGCTGTATGTACAAAAAGCTATGGAAGCCCCAAGAAGTAAGAGGCTCTTAGCCTCCATAGATATTTACTTTGATACTACGGTTGTAAAAAATATGAGACTATATGGCTTTTTCTTACCTTTTTAGTTAAGCATTTAATAAACTATATATATTTTACTTTGTAAAATATATTAACAATATCTTTATTTTTGGTGGGAAGGAGATAGTTTTCCATTTTACTTTATATTTATATTAAAGGCTTTTATTATAATAATTGGAACACAGACTTTAAGTTTTTTAAATATCATACTTTCCTGATATATTACCTGTCATTTTTCCCCCTCTGGGGTAGAAAAAAATACCTTTCTTCAGGTACTGTCAGTTTCTTTATTTGGATTATTCTTAAACAAATCCTTTCCTCTAATAGGTGCATAATAAGAAAATTATTATTTATTATTTATTTTTTATGTTTTTATATTTTTTACTCTCTTATTTAGTATTTTTTCTATTTATTTAAAGCACGGTAAAAAAATTGGTACACTTTGGAAATTCAGTGGCACAAGGTACACTGCCATATAACTTGAGGGACATTATACAGTTAAAAAAATAGGAAATAAAAAGGAAAAATTTTTTCTCCTGTTTCAAACACTGCATTACATAATTATTTTTTATTGTAAAACTTCAGTGTTAGTCATAGTGTGATAGCCAGTGAATCATGACAGCCTGCTAAGAATGCCCTCAATACAATAAAGTTTACATTGAGACTAATCTATGAGAAGGCTCAAAGTCAACTTCAGGAATAAAAAACAGCCAGAAAAAAAAAAAATGCTAAGACAACCACTGTAATACCAAAAAAGTTACCAAAAAAAAAAAAAGGATCTCTCCTGGTTATCCAAAGATGAACCACTTTCTGTCCTGTGGTGGGTGTGTGACAATGTCCCTCACAGCAGTTCTTTGGGGGAGGACCTGCTCCCACTGAGAATTAGTTCACTTTCTAGAAGTGAGAGAGAAGGGAAAATCCCCATAACAAAAATCCATTTGGTGAACTGCAGTTTGGCGGTGTTTGAAGTTTTAGGGTTATTTAATAATCAAAATATGCTCTGAATTCATCCATGTGAGTAAAGCTACAATCCAGCTTCACGGGAAATGACAGACCAGGATTCCTGCTGACCAAATAGTCTGGCTTCCTTCACAGAACTTTTATAGCCCATTTTACATTCATAGATTTTTTACTCAACTCAGCATTTATCAACATCATATCCTCAGGGCCAAGTGAAGAGTCTTACAGCACTGGGAGTCCTTCTCCTTCTGAATTAAGTAAACATTCTAAAATTACACAAAGAATCTAAATTGTTTTACTGGGCCCCTAAGAGAGTATGCAGCTACAGAGACACAAATAAAAGGTTCTTCTTAGCTATGAACTACGTCTGGTAATGGTCCTAGAAATCTAAAAGGTTCATTACTGCTCTTTTGCCTAAGAACTCCCTGAGACATTAATCAAAAGAGTCACATAGACAGAGGCATACAACTTTCTAGAGTCTTACAAGAACAAGTAAATCTAACATGAACCATATTTGTGTGGAATTGACTAAAATAAATAGAAGATAGTGGTTTTGAGATCAACATTGCAAACATTTACACTAATATTATAATTTATCCTCTTCATTATCCTACAATTTTTAAGTATAAGTAATGTGATATCAAGGCTGATAGAATCATGCAAAAACTATATCCTGCCTCCCCAATTTTAATACTATCCCCTTAAAAGATTGCAGAGACCACAGAACAGAAATCTCCCATAGACATTTTTGTGGCAAAGTTCCCTTGAAGGAAGTGAATTCTGTCTTTACCTCAGAACAGCCTGACTTAACCCATTAGGCACAGTAAGCCCAGTGTTTCAGGTCCACAATACATTTAGGTGTCTAGGAAAATATTTTCTTTTAAAATTAGAACAAAAATAAAAGTTTTAGGTCAAAGAAAATGTTCAAATATATAATATTAAGATATTAATCTTTATATCAATGTAGATGTGTGTGCGTGTGTTTATGAAAAAGGTATCCACCGAGACAAAATGCTTTAGGACTCATAAAAATCATACTGCTGCCTGGCCTCAAAAATGTCCTTTCTATTAAATTATTTTGAATGACTTCCTAGGTATGCTAAGATTTCAAGTTTTGTCAGCCAGGGAAATCCTCACCTCTTTGGAAGACATACGTTGTTTTTTTTGTTTTTGTTTTTTTTTCTTACTAGAGTTTTCTGAGAAAAATCATTTTTTAAAAAAAGTTTTGCTTATTTTAAAACAATTACTCAACTAGAAAGTCTCCTCCCCCAAAGATAATTTTTTAAAGAGAAGGACGGTTGAAGGAGAAAACGAGCACTTCAGGCGAGGCCCTGCCAGCCCGCAACGAAAGGCAGTCTCCCAGGCTCGCTGTAGTCCGGGTCACGGACCCGAGAGACAGCAGAGCCGGTTTCTCGCGTCATTCCACGGCCGTCCAGCAGAGGGCGCGTGGCGCCCAGCGCCCAGGGCTGCTCGCTCTCCGGCGCCGCAAGGACCTTATCCCTATTTGCCCCAAGGTCATAGCTCCTAACCGAGCTTGCCTGCCCCAGGGCCTGGACGCCGGAGAATGCGCCCTCGGAGCCGGAGACCCCGGCGCGGGTGGGGCCGATGGAGCGAGGCGGGAGGGCTGTGGGGCCAGGGATGCTATCGCAACGGGGACAGGGGATGAAAGGCACCGGGGCCCGGGGCCCGAGTCGTCCCCGCCGTCGCCAGCCTCGGCGCCCGGGAGGGGGATGGGGTGCGCGTAGACGCTCCGCAGCCCCAGTCGGACCGAGGAGCCCGGGAGCCGCCGCCGCCACAGCGCGCCGAGACTCGGAGCCTCGCTGCGCGCCCGGGAGCGCGGGCCCGGCCGCCGGCCTTGGGGAGCTGGGCGGCGGGGGCAGAGGAGCGCACCGGCCCCGCCGAGAGGGCGTTGTCCCCGCCCCAGGAGCCTCGCCCGCCCGGCCCGCCCCGACCGCGGGGAGATCACCTCCGCCCGTCACCTCCGCCCCTGGCCGCCCAGGTCCGCCCGGGGTCCCCTCCCCCGGCCGCCCCGGAGCACGAAGTTGGCGGGAGCCTATAAAAGCCGGCGACGGCGTGACCCGTGGCCACACCGTGCGGGCGCCCGAGCAGCCACCGCTAGACCGGCGCCAATCCCTGCCCCGCCGCGACCGCCTGCGCGACCATGTCCCATCACTGGGGATACGGCGAGCACAACGGTGAGTGCGGGCGGCGGGCGGCGCCGCCGGGTCCCGCGTCCCCGAGGCCGGCCGGGGCCCCGCAGCGCCCGCACCTGCCGTGGCCCGCGGCCGCGGGGAGCGCTGCAGGCTCAGGTGCGCCCGGCCGCCCGCCCCGCGCGGGGGACGCCCCCGTCGCCCAGCTCCGGGCCGCTGTCGAGGAATCCCCACGTCCGCCCAGGCGCGCAGGGCCCGGGAGAGGCGCGCGCAGCCCCGGCCGCGGGACCCCACGACAGTCCTTCCCGGGCCCCGAGCTGCGGACCGTGCTAACCGGACCTGGGAGGAGGCGGAGAGGGGGATTTTGTAACGAAAATGTTCGGTCGTTGATCGCAGAGAAACTAAGGGACCCCCTTTCCCAGACCCCGCCGGCTTCAGCACCACCTGTGGCTGAGGCTTTCAGCAGGAACTGTCCCGGGGCATTCTCTGGGGCTCCTTTCAATCCATTGCTCTGATTCCCGAGTTTTATCTTCATCTCCCGACCTGTAACTTTGAAGGGTCGGTCACCAGGAAGGGGGCTTTAGCATGGCCACGGATCTGGGTTCCCGGGTCCGCGGGGTGAAGAGAAAAATACGCGTGTGGCCCGCCTTTGGAGGATGCGGCGCTTCCCAGGTAGCGAGGACCCTGGCCGTCCAAGGAGGGGCGCCCGGGCCTGAGCAGTGTCTCCGTCCTTCCATCCAGTGCGTGGCACCAGGGAGGAATCTGGACCTGCTGAAATTAAGACTTGAGTGAGCTTGCATATCCCGACCCCGACCACAAGCCCTGGAATTAGAGTCTGCCCGAATCCAATTGCTGAATTTCAGTAAAGCTATATACTATTTATACGGCCCTCACTAATAATCTAAGAGCTTTCCATGTATCGATTCTAATTCTCCCAAGGACATCTATGAGGAAGATACTGTTAACCCATATTACAAATGTGGAAACTGAGGCACGGATGAAGTGTTTTCCCAAAGGTTCAATGGTGTCGCTAAAATTGGAACCGAGCAGATCGGCTCCAGACTCACTGCCCTTTTCGAGGGGTCTAGGTGTACCCTTCCCCACATGGGGGGATTCACGAGTGTCTTCTCTCCCCGTCCCCAGGGCCTGAGCACTGGCATAAGGACTTTCCCATTGCCAAAGGAGAGCGTCAGTCCCCTGTCGACATCAATACCGGTGAAGCCAAGCACGACCCTTCCCTGAAGCCTCTGTCTGTTTCCTATGAAAAAGCGGCTTCTAGGAGGATCCTCAACAATGGTCACTCTTTCAACGTGGAGTTTGATGACTCCCAGGACAAAGCAGGTCAGTGTTTAAAAAATAACTTGTGACTTCAAGGCAGTAGCTGTTTTCTCAGCTTAATGGAACCAGTCAGGAGCAGTGGCAGGAAACCCCTACAGTGAGAGGCCTCTCTGATAATGTTCCTCAGGTCCCAGACTCTGAGAAGCAGGGTAATTACCTGGAAGTGTCCTGGGACTTTCTCCCCTGTAAAAGTCCTGACTTTTATGTAGGGCATTGAATGACTAGGGTATGCCTGTGAAAAGTCACAAAAGGCAAGGTCCCCTGGCAGTAAAGATCAGCAATGAGGAGATTTGTACAAATTGAATGTTTAAGATCCCATGTAAAATATTTGTCTTCCAGCGTTGATGCCTATCCATTAGAAATATATCTTACTGAGTATTATCTTCAAGGTAGCATTGAGAAGAGTGATGAAAACCTGACAATTTCAAATAATGAAATTCTTGGAAAATATTGTGTTTATGAATATTTCTCGGTATTGGCAGTATATGTTATATCTATCTGGGAATTGATTCCTCAAACGAAGATGTTTAAGACTTGGGGGACATATCTGGTCCATTACTGACAAAACCTATTACCATCATTTATTTGTAATAGAGCTGTTTACAGGATGCCCACTGAATGCTTCCTTTTTCTTATTTAAAACAGAAGAACAATCCCATTCAGACATAGTAGCTGCCTTCTTTGCTCACTGGTTGTTTAATTGCCAGTGCCCTATTTTCCTGAGTGCTTTCCTCTGAAGGTCACTGAAATGGTGCTGTAGACACATTCTCTCTGGTGGTGGTGTGGGAGAGCCAGGAGTGGTGGAGGGAAACATTCATTAACGTTGCCACGGTTTTGGAGTAATGACCTATGGTAGTAATATATTATATGATATGTAATTATAACAATCACAGTCAAGTTGACTATTCTTTAGCTGTACAATATACTCAGTTCAGTTTTGAAAAAAAATTCTCCTTCCCTCCTTCCCTGTTTTTAAAAGTTTTAGACACTTGGCTTTCTGAAACAGCGATTCTAGAAGACAAGTTGATGGGGGCTAATGTGGAGATCATCTGAGAAATGTTTTCGCCCTGCTGGTGCCTGTGTGCACCTCTTGTCAGTATACACGCACACACTCATACTCACACTCACACATTCTGGCATAGTATCATCATTTATTAGAATCAAGTAGAGGATGTACATTGAAGACAACTCAGTGATTCTGCTACATTGCCTTCCCAACCATTCCTCCCACTCAGAAGAAACAATGCTCAAATAATTAAATTAAACAACTTCTTTTTTTCAAGAAATTGAAATTTCAAGAATACTACATATTTATAATATGACAAAGCCAAAGGTCTCGAGGTATTGTACATACAGAAACAATGCTATAAAATTTTATGCCCAGTCGTTTAAAAAGAAGTGAGCTACTTTAGTCTGTAGCTGTCAACTTTTTTTTTTTAAGAGCTACAGTGGTATTATTGTTTTCAATGGATGTGATATCTACCAAAATATATGCCTCATTAGGTGCTACGTTGAAATTAGATGCTTAAAGTCTTTCTTGAAACAATGCATAAACAAATATCTAACAAATGGAAGCAGATGAGGTAATTCCCTGTATTCTTTAGAAAAATGATCATGAAATGAATTGTTCCAGTAATATATATTCCCAGTAAGTGGATTTCAGCGTATAGTCTGGTGGCTCTGAGCATAGTCTGGGGTCAGACAGACCTGGACTTGAGTTTCAGCACTGTCGCCAACTAGCGCAGTGACTTTAGGAGTGAGAGTAACTTAACCTCTCTATGTTCTAGTTGTTTTTAACTGTAAAATTGGAGTAACAGCAGTATCTTCTACAGAGGAAGGATTAAATGGGACAGTATATATAAAGCATCTATCCCAGTGCCTGACACATAGATATTCTTTATAAATGACCTCTGTTGTCATGACCATGTGCCACTTGACTGCCTTTATTAGGAAATTGCTGTAGTTCTTGTACCTGTGACAAGGTTTCTGAAGAAACTTTTTATTTAATGAGCTTTAAGATTAGTTTCCATCGCTCGATGATATTTTAAATTTATATTTTCATATATTCTGAAACATCCTATCTGTCATATTAAATATGTACTGATTTTATATATGAAGTTGATATACTGTTATATATTTTACCATGAATATGTTAGTTAAGCTTTGATGGGTTTCTCCATGAGCAGTAACTTATTAGAGCTAGCCACATTTTCCCAACTATTACTATTTCTTCTAGTGGGTATTGTGTACATTTTAAAAGAAGTTTAGATTGTGGAACAGAGTAAAATCACCGGGTTTAGATAGCTCCAACCCATGTCGTTAGGGACACACGTATTATCCACGTAAGTCAGATCAAAATCATTCCTAACACCAGTTAAATGCATGCTAAGCTAAGCATCATGAAGGCAGGATGGAAGCCTGGTCCCTTTCCTGCATCTCCAAGGCCCACACCGAGGGTCCCTGAAGTAGAAAGACATAGACATAGTAGACACTGACATTCACTTTGATGTAAGTGCAAAAAGGAAGTTTCCGAGGGACCGTGGAAACACGAAGGAGACTTAGTAGTCTGACTGTGTAGGTCAGGAAAGACTTTCCAGGGTAAATAAGGCTTATGTGGAAGCTTGAAGGACTTTGATGTCTTGGGACAAGCCTCCAGGCAAAGGGAAATAGGAAACTCCAGAAGACTTAGGAGAGCACAGTATGTGCTCTAGAAAGGCAAGAGGTACACATTTTAAAAACTAGGGTCAGAAGAAAGTCTTGCTCTCCTTTGCATATGAAAGATTCCTTTGTAATTTTGCCTACTTTACATTGTCAGTTATTTTGGTTAAATGAAGATGAAGAATATACCAAAATGTTGATAGTAAGAGAAAATACATCTACAGAATAAATTTTTAAAAAATCGTATTATGTGGAAAAACAACCTTTAGACTTAAAAAAAAAAAGAATCGTAGACTCTCAAAGCTGGAACAAAAGGTAGAGATACTCTAGTCAAAGCTACTTAAAATAAACATGAAGAAACAGCTAAAGAGTTTTAAATAACTTACTAAGTCGTTTCCTTCTTAGTTTGCTGGATAGACTAAATGACAATCCCTTAAAGATAGAATTTGAATAAGAATCTTTGAATGATAATCATAATTAACATTTAGTTTGTACATATGATGTTTTAAAAAACTAGTATACTTTTCTATACCCTTAAGTCTAAAAATAATGTATTTGTTTTGGTTACTTAATTGTTTTTAAATCAATAGTTTACCGTCCCTTTGGTTAGGAGTTATTTTTATAGTGTTAACATTTTTAGATATCCTTTACCTCTTATTTCCTGCATTTAAATGCAGTTTATGTATCTACACTCTCTCCCCCACCCCACCCGCCCCCATTTAATGAAATTTCAGCCTTCTAGAACTTCTCATCAATTCACGTTCTCAGTATGATGTCCTAATGTTACCTTATACCCAAACTTAATTTTTGGGTATCAGGAACTGAGCTGCTTAAGTTTATTGCTATGTTTAAGCTTGAGAGAATTCTTTTTAAATGGGGAGTTAATAGGCTTTAACTAGAAGCTTGGGTTAAAGCTCTCCTCAATCTTCTAAATTCCTTTAAAAATAAACCATGTTAAATTCATCTTAAATTAATGAAAAATTGCTAAGCCTTTTAAATTTAAAAAATAATTAAAAAATAACTCTCCTTGCTTGAGATGATTTATTATCAGCTTTATCTGGGAGAAAAGAATGGCAGTCAAATTATTAACTCCTGCTAACTTATTCACTTTTATTAATGAGTTTAAAATTGTACTACTTTATTGCAAAGTTAGGGGTAAAATATTGGAAGCCAGTGCTAGAATTATTGGGCCAACTCATATACAATTCTCAAATCATTTCTGATTTTTCGAAATTGTAATTTTTAAGTATGTTATTTCAAGAAAAAAGAAAGAAGGAAGCAGAATGAGTTTACTTGTGCTCAATTTTAGCAGATCATTGTCTATGACATAATGGATCTTCATACATCAGTCCTGCTGGACTTTCAGGGACTTGCTTTTGAAGCTCTAAAATGTTTCCTCCCGCAGCAATCATAAGTTAAAAGGCAGCATAACAACAACAAACAACAAGGCTTGTCATGCACATGGGTAATGATAGCAGCAGAACCCTGAATGTCTGGAAAACTGACCAAAGCTTTCTAACTGCTATAATTGATCATGTTTACATCAAAGAGCTTTTCTTTTACTCCTGTATAATTGTTACATATCTTAAACTACAACTTCTGTTCTCTTGAGTTTGGACAATGTTTATTTTCATGAAAGAGACTGCCAAACCTCTTATTGCTTTAAAAAAAAAATGGAATAGAGATGTCTGAGAAAAAGACTTGACATGTAGCCCTAGGACTATTGGCAACTTCCAATAAACCAAACAGTAATGTAGGATTTTAAAATGTTCACGTTATTTTTAGAGAAGATGGTTCAGCTCCTGGAAATGCCAAGTTTTCTGTAGAATTATTCATTTGCTTCATTAGTAGGAAATCACTTAAATTTTAGTTTTAAACTAAGGATTATTTGGAAGAGTTTGTTTGGATTTTGGATTTAAGAGATTATTAATGTTCATTAAGGTTTTTGGTTTATTATTCCAATGCATTTTAATTAAATAGTAATGGTAAGTGATTAGGAAGAAAAATATTCAAAGATATTAAATTTTTAGTTTTTAATGTGTATAGGTAGTCTGTTTTTTTTCAATATTACTGAGTCTCTTATTTTTCATAAAAACTTGCATAGCTTTCCCAAATAACATGTATAGGAAGACAAATTATTCTATGATATTTTACTTGATACTTATTTTGTGATGTCTATAGTATATATAACTGATGACAGATCATGAAAATTAAAATTGACTGGAGCTCTTAGTGTTGAGATTTGAATTCAAATAATATTTGGGAGTCTTGAAAAAATATTAGAATAGACAACCTTATTTATGTATCTCTATCCTTCATGGCACATGTTTCTATAGTACAATAAA